TTTGAAACGACATGAGGGTGAGTAATTAATGACATAATTTTCATTTTTGGGTGAACTAACCCTTTAAATAATCTTTGTGAGCAAAGGGTGGTGACCGGCACTGCTAACTAGTTAAAAAATACTGAAACTGGACAAATCATGTTTCTTTGTAAATCTAGTGTTTTGCACAGGTTTCTGTGATGTTTGTTTATGGCACAGAAGATATCATTAACCTGATATAAAAACAATGAAAGTCTATGAGATGAGTTCACACAACCAAGTGTGTGTGTCTGTTTCTTGACCTACACTTTTGTGGTCCTGCAGTCATCATCTTCTCTCCTCCATGATCCACACTATAAACACACAAACACACATTAATGTAGATCTGCATAATTCACACACACATTCAGTATGTCAGTATTAGTGTTTGACATACTTGAGTATCTGCAGTTTATAGTTTGGATCCTCCAGTTTGTGGTTGAGCAGCTGGACTCCTGATACAGACACACATTCAGATCATCTACAGACACACACAGTCAGAACATCTTCAGACACACAGTCAGATAATCTACAGACACACAACCAGACAACCTACAGACACACACAGACACATAATCCACAGACACACAGTCAGATCATTGACAGACACACAGCCAGACAACCTACAGACACACACAGTCAGATAATCTACAGACATACACAGTCAGATCATCTACAGACACACACAGCCAGACAACCTACAGACACACACAGTCAGATCATCTAGACATATACAGCCAGACAGACAGACACACACACACACACACACACAGACACGTCCACATACACTCCTACTCTATTAGAGGATGAACGGACAGCAGGTATATCAGTGTAGTTATTATTGTGCCAGACAGTGAATCTGTCAAAAGAACAGTACAGACTCCAGGATTTGTCATTGGATCCAAACTTACAGTAATTTCTCTTTCCTTTCCTGTTGATTCCTTTATATGACACTGATATTTCAGCATCATCTCCACTCCATTCAGCCTCCCAGTAACAGCGTCCAGTCAGACTCTCTACACACATAACAGTCAGATCCTCTACAGACACACACAGTCAGATCATCTCCAGACACACACACAGTCAGATCATCTACAGACACACACAGATAATCTACATACACAGGCAAATCATCTACAGACACACACAGTCAGATCATCTACAGACACACAC